CCATTCCTGATCAAAACTCTCAGCAAAATAGGAATAGAAGGGACATTCCTCAACATAATAAAGGGCATTTATGCAAAACCAATAGCCAGCATTATACTCAATGAAGAGAGACTGAAACCATTCCTCTTGCGAACAGGAACCAGACAAGGATGCCCTCTACCACCACTTCTATTCAACACTGTACTGGAAGTCCTAGCCAGAGCCGTAAGGCAAGAAAGGGAAATCAAAAGCATCCAAATTGGTAAGGAAGAAGTCAAACTATCCCTATTTGCTGATGATATGACGCTATACCTAGAAAACCCAAGAGACTCAGTAAAAAATCTGCTGGAACTAACTGAATGATTTAGCATTGTGGCAGGATATAAGATTAACATCCAAACAACAGTTGGATTCCTCTACACCAGTAAAGAGATTGCTGAAAAAGAAATATGAAAATCAATACCATTTACAATAGCTACCAAAAAAATAAAATGCTTGGGAATAAATCTTACCAGGGACATAAAAGACCTATACAAGAAAGAAAACAATAAAAAACTATTTCAAGAAACCATAAGAGATCTACATAAATGGAAGAGTATCCCATGCTTGCGGATAGGAAGATTGAACATTGTGAAAATGTCAATTCTACCCAAAGCAATCTATACATTCAATGCAATCTCAATCCAGATCCCATCAACATTCTTTAAGGATATGGAAAAACCAATTACTAACTTTATATGAAAAGGAAAGAGACATCAGATAAGCAAAGCACTGTTGAAGAAGAGGAACAAAGTAGGAGGTCTCACACTGCTGGATCTCAAACCTAGTATACAGCCACAGTATTCAAAACTGCCTGGTACTGGTTTAATGACAGACACATAGACCAATGGAATAGAATTGAGAACCCAGAAACAGATTCTTTGACCTATGTTCAGCTGATCTTTGACAAAAGGCCAAAATCCATTAAATGGGGAAGAGAATGTTTGTTTAATAAATGGTGCTGGCAAAACTGCATATCCATTTGCAGGAAAATGAAACAAGATCTGTACCTCACACCATACACAAAAACGAACTCCAAATGGATCAAAAAACTTAAATGTGAAACCTAAAACTATAGAGTTCCTCAAGGACAAACTAGAAGCAAATTAGGGGCCCTAATATATGGCATACATAGACTATGAAGCATAACTCAAAATGCACAAACAGGGAAGAGAAAGAAGATGAATGGGACCTTCTAAAAATTAAATGTTTATGTGCTTCCAAAGACTTCTCCAAAAGAATCTACAGATTGGGAAAAAAATACTTGGCAATGACGTATCTGACAAGGGATTTATTTATCTCTAGAATTTACAGAAAACTCCAACACCTCAATAACAGAAAGACAAACAATCCAATTAAAAAATGGGCAGAAGACATGAATAGACACTTCACCAAGGAGTATATTCAGGCGGCCAACAAACATATGAAGAAATGCTCATGATCATTAGCCATTAGAAATGCAAATCAAAACAACAATGATATACCATCTTGCCCAGCACTAGCAGCAAAGTTCAAGAAGACAGAAAACAACAACTGCTGGCAAGGATGCAGAGAAATTGGGACTCTCCTACACTGCTGGTGGGACTGTAAAATGATACAACCACTGTGGAAAGCAGTATGGTGATTCCTTCAAAAGTTGGAAATAGAAATACCATTTGACCCAGCCATTCCATTATTAGGTATATAACCTAAAGAAGTGAGAGCCATGACAAGAACAGACACCAGTGTTTATCACAGCACTATTTACAATAGCCAAAAGATGGAAGCAACCTAGGTGTCCATCAACTGAGGAATGGATAACCAAACTTTGGTACATACACACAATGGAATACTATGCAATGCTAAAGAATAATGTAGAATCTGCAAAACACCGCCTAATGTGATGAACTTGGAGGACATTATGCTGAATGTAATAAGTCAATCACATAAGGACAAATATTGTATAAGTCTGTTATTGCAAAAGTCAAAGAAAGGTTTATCTACAGAAGGAAATTTTCTTTGCTGGTTACCAGGGGTGGGAGGGGAGTGGAGGGAACACTGTTAAATAGATAGAGATAAGTATTGATTTGAGCGAAGAGTAGGAAAATGTACGAAATGTGAGTGATCAACATGGAAGCATTGAGGAAGAGGAAGATATAGAGAGATACATGGAAGGTACAGACAACAAAGATGAACTCCTTCGCACATTCAGTACTGCGTTGTCAGTGAAGGCAAACATGGGTATACAGGAGGATAGGTGGTGCACAGGCTGAACTCTTAGGTATGTCTATGAAGAGGGGAGTATACCAAGACTGTGTACATATAAAGTTTACAGACAGTGGTCGTAAAGTGTATTTGTATGATCTGAATTCCCAGTTGTATAGTAGAGCTGACAAAGGACAAGGTTGTAGTCACTTATTGGTCACAGCCAGCTACCCAGAGGGACCGAGTAGTTGAACTGGTGGGCTCGGGACCATAGTCACAGGGTACACCAAGGTCAATTGGCATAACATACTACACAAAACATTGTTCCACCTTCTACTTTGGCAAGTAGCGACTGGGATCTTAAAAGCTTGCAAGCTGCCATCTAGATACAACGATGGGTCTCTCCTCGTCCATAGCAAAAAAGAATGAAGAAAACCAAAGATTCATGGAAACAATTAGTGCTAATGACTGGTACACCATTGTGATCTGCAGCCTATATGACTATGAGACCAGAAGAACTAGATGGTGCCTGACTACCACTGTCAACTACTCAGAGGGCGGTCTATGTAGGAGATCTGGGATAAAGAGGGAGAACAATGTGGAACAAAACTCAAAATCATTTGAACAAAAAAAGAGAGGACCAGGTTTGCTGGTCTGATAGAGCCTTATGGAATCACTTAAGATAATGGCCCCTAGTTGCCCGGCAAGTCTGAATTGAACCCACACCTGCAGCTTCCAGCCAAGCAAAAGACAGGCATATGAATTAAACATTTACCTGCGGTAGACACACTCCTTGGAGAGAACTATCATGGGAGAAAAAGGGCTGTTTATGCATAGGGAGACAGCTCAAGGGGCAGGGTTGCATGGAGGGACAGACACAGGGAAGAGGTGACTGTCAGGAGGAAATGGGAGGGGACCTGTTGCATTGTGGTGAATGTCATGAGACAGTGTATGTGAACTGTCATATGGAAAGTGAATTTGCTCTGTAAATTTTCCCCAAAATCACAATTAAAAAAAAAAAAAAAAGAAAGAAATCACATGACATATTACACTGGGCATATCTGCTGCCAAAAGACCTCTTTAAAATGCTGAAGACTGAAGATGTCCCTTTGAAGACTAAAGTATGCCTAACCCAAGTAATGGTGTTTTTGTGGCCTCATACACATACGAAAGCTGGACAATAAATAAGGAAGACCCAAGAAGAGTTAATGCTTTTGAGTTATGGTGTTGGTGAAGAATACTGAAAGTACCATGACTGCCAGAAAAACTAACAAATCCATCCTGGAGGAAGTGCAACTGGAATGCTCTAGAAGCGAGATGGCCAGATTTCATATCACCTACTTTGGTCACGTTGTCAGAAGGGACCATTCCTTAGAGAAAGATATCATGCTTGGAAAGTGGAGGGTCAGTGAAAAAGGAGAAGGCCCTCAACAAGATGGATTGACACAGTGGCTGACACAATGGGCTTAGATATAGGAAGGATTGTGAGGCTGGTGCAGAACGAGGCAGTGTTTTGTTCCGTTGTACAAAGGGTCGTTACGACTCGGAGCACCTTACAACAACAACAACAAAATGCAATCAGAATGAAACGAATGAAAATGATAACACATTATTGTGAAAAATGTAACCAATATAATTTAATAATCTGTGTGAAAATTGTTAAATGGAAGCTAACCTGCAATGTAAATTTTCACCTTAAACACAATAAAATATTATTTAAATGTTGGAAACCCATAGGGGTGACTATGAGTTGGAACTGACTCAATGACAGTGTGTTTGGTTTTGGTTTTTTATTCTTTTCCTTTTACATTCTGGTCATTCAATGTTGTCTTCTCCTGAGCTACATTTAGAACCTTTTAGAAAACTACATTATCTAAAATAAACATTGCACAAACACTATAATAAACTATTAAAATCTCATGGAAACAATTAATCCAGCAGACTAGTGGACCATGTGAATCCCAGCCTATATGACCTGAGACTACCACTGTCAACCACTTTGAAAGGGATCAGTGTAGGAGATCCTGGGAAAAGTGGGAGAACAACGTGGAACACAACTCAAATCATAAAAAAGACAAAGTTTACTGGTCTGATAGAGCCTAGTGAGACCCCAGAGACTATGGCCCCTAGCTACCCTTCAGGTCTGGAACTGAACTCAGTTCTGTGGCTTCCAGCCAACAACAGACAGGCATACTGGGTGAACATTTACATCAGGTGGATATACTCCTTAGAGCGATCAATCATGCGAGATCAGGAGGGCAGTATTTGCACAGGGAGATAGCTCAGAGAGCAGGAATGCACAGGAAAGAAGGACACAGGGAAGAAGTAACTACAGGGAGGAAGTGGGAAGACACCTGTTATGTCATGGGGAATTGCAGTCAGTATCATGAAACAAAATGTGTATGAATTGCTGTATGGAAAATGAGTTTCCACTCTAAATTTTCACCCTAATCACAATAAAAATTTTTAAAAATTAAAATAAACAAATGAACTATTAAAATCTTTAAATACTCCAACAAAGGAGAAAGTTCTTATTGATTCAAACTTACCTTATACATTCACTTGCAGCTTTGTCTTTTACAGTAGAAGAGAAAGAAGAATGAGTTTTATCTTCAAATAGGTAAGAGAGTGGTAGTTTGATGAGATCTGTTAAGGAAAAAAAGTACATATTATATTTATCTAATGACCACATTTATGTATTGTATATTGAGCCAAAAACATTATTACCTTCTGATTTTTGTCTATCCTGAAGGAGATACTTATTTGGAATAGTTAAATAACATCTCTGTAAACGCCTCCTCTCTCGATTTGGTCCTTCTGTTGGATCCAACTGCCAGGAGGTTGGATAGTAGATGGGATCATACCAGACTGCTCTGTGAGTAAAAGTAACATTGTTTTAACTGCCTATCTGAAGACTGTGGAGCATTTAAAAAGTCATAATAGAGACTGAATAAAGAAATAAAATTGATGTATTCAATTAAAAAAATAAAAATTATTTACATAATTAGACTCACTTACTGCTGTTGAGTTGGTTCCAACTCATAGTGACCCCTCTTTTGGTTTCCGAGGTGATATCTCTATGGAAGTAGATTGCTCAATCTTACTTCTGAGGAGTGACTGGTGGGTTTGATCTGCCAGCCTTCCTGTTGGCAGTCAAATGCCTTATGCACTATGCCACCAGAGCTCCTATGTTACACTAGGGAATACATATACAAAGTACATGCATTCTGATTTCCAACCTCCCAAAGTTTGCTTCCTGGGGGAAACTTCTGCTACCAGATTTTCCATCTATTAATTTTTTTAAAAAATATATCGTGAATACCATGAACATCTTAGTAACATATATAAACACACTAGATTTAATATGGTGGTGGTGGTTGTTGTTATGTGCCGTCGAGTTGGCCCCAACTCATAGAGACTCCTCCTTGGGTTTCCGAGGCAGTATCACTATGGAAGTAGATTGCCCCATCTTCCTTCTGAGCAGTGGCTGGTGGGTTTGAACTGCCAGCCTTCTGGATAGCAGTCAAGTGCCTTAGGCACTAAGCTACCATTCATCTTCCAAAATAATTTTTCATATTTCCCATAAAATGGGAGCTTTGGTGGCATAGTGCCTAAGGCATTTATTTGACCACTACCCAGAAGGCTGGCAGTTCAAACCCACCCGCCACTCCTCAGAAGGAAGACTGGCCAATCAACTTTCGTAGAGATATAATTTCATAAACCCAAGGAGGAGTCACTATCAGTCGGAATCGACTTGACAGCAGTGAGTTTGGTTTGTTTGGTTTAATGTACCTCAACTAAAATTTGTTAATTTTTATAGTGCACATCAAATTTTTAAAGATTTAAAATAAATTTATATTTTAAATGAAAAAAGCAGTAAACTTAAAGTTATTTATTATAAATAACTTTATAAATTATAAATTTATTAAGTAAATTTTTAGAAATACATTAAAAAAATCACTTACTCCTTATTACTCTAAACATATCAAAATACTAATCATGATTATTTTCTGTCATTCTTGTTTCACATGCATCTGTCTTTAATTTATAGTTATAATCATTACATATATATATATATATATTTTATACCCTGTCTTCTTTCATTCACTGAATATAGCATAATCTTCATTATCATCATTTCAAGTGACTACCTAATATTGCATTGAGTGGATTCATCATAATGCATTTAAAGAAATTATATATTTGTTTCTAATTAATTTACTAACATAAATAATGTAGAAATGAAAACTTTTACTTACAGTTTTTCCATATTTTGAATTTTTCCTTAGAATAGAATCACTAAAGTAGGATAACTAGAGCTAGAAAAAAAATATTTCTAAGGTTGTTGACATACACTGTCAAAGTATACAATGACACCAAAGTACTGAATAAGGATTATGGTACATTTTGTAGCTCTCTTCCTGCTGTGGATATTAGAACCTGATTTTTTTTTTTTTTTTACCATAAAAGGTAAAATATGGTATCCAAAAGTCTTAAGAAAACAAATTTGCCTCCAGCAATGTTGCATATTTTCCTATCAACTTATTAATTCTATTTGTCTTACATAAAGTGTGTATTCATATCTTTTGATCACTTAACTGCCAAGGTCTTAATGTTTTACTTTCAAATCTATGTGCTGTTCAAATCCACTGACTTTGTTTTAAAGTTCCTTCTATTGCTTTTGAGCTTAGAAAGTTATTTACGCTTCAAAGAACTGATAAATGTCCCATTCTGCTTTATAAACTTTCTGAGTTTAACTTTTATCCATCTAGAAGTTATGTTAGTGCATAAGGGTTAGTGTATTTTAGTACCTCCAAATCATACTAACCAGTTATCTTAACCAAATTTACAGAACACTTTAGTTCCCCTTTTTTCATTACTAATTTTGCATCTTCATTAAATATTTTTTCAAATCTTATTATTCAGGTATTAGGTAATAAAAGATCTGTTTCTCAACTATTCTGTTACAGTAACTTCTCTGTTTTTGTTGCAAGGATCAGACTCCTTAAATTAAAGCCAATTTTACAGATTTTACTATCTGGAAAGCCAATACCTCTCTCTCCCATTACTTTTCTCCACCCATATCTCATATGATTATCCTTTGTTGTTGTTATTGTTAGGTGCTGTTGTCTCTGACTCACAGCAATCCTATGCACAATAAAACAAAACACTGCCCAGTCCTAAGCCAGCTCCATGATTCTTGCTATACTTGAGCCCAATGCCACTGCCACTGTGTCAATCCATCTTATTGAGGGCCTTCCCCTCTTTTGTCAACCCTCCACCTTACCAAGCATGACAATCCTTCTCCAGGGAATGGTCCTTTCTGACAACATGACCAAAGTATGTGAGATGAAGTCTGGCCATTCTCACCTCCAAGGAGTATTCCAGCTGCACCTTCTCCAGGAGAGAGCTGTTAGTTCTTTTAGCAGTCCAAGGTACTTTCAGCTTTCTTCACTAACACCACAGCTCAAAAGCATCAATTCTTCTTCAGTCTTCCTTATTCATTGTCCAGCTCTCACATGCATATGAGGCGACTGAAAATACCATGGCATATATCAGGTGCACCTTAGCCCTCAAGGAGTTATCTCAGCTCTTCAGCACTTGAAAGAGGTCCCTTGAAGCTGATTTGCCCAGTGCTATAGATTGTCTGATGTCCTGACTGCTGCTTCCATTGGCATCAATTGTAGAACCAAGCAATGTGAAGTCTGACAATTTCAATCTTTTCTCCATTTGTCATGAGGCTGCTTATAGGTCCAGTTGTGAGAACTTTTGTTTTCTTTGTATTGAGATATAATCCATACTGCAGACTGTATTCTTCAATCTTCATCAGTAAGTACTTTAAGTCATCCTCACTTTTAGAAAGCAAAGTTGTGTTATCAGCATATCGCAGGTTGTTAATGATTCTTCCTCCAATCCTCATGCCACGTTCTTCATATAGTCCAGCTTCTCAGAATATTTGCTCAGCACACAGAGTGAATAAGTATGGGGAAAGGATACAACCCTGATGCACTCACCTCTTGATTTTAAACCGTGCAGTGTTCCCTTTTTGTGTTCGAATGACACCCTCCTGGTCTATGTACAGGTTCCTCATAAGTACAATTAAGTGTTTTGAAATTCCCATTCTTCTCAATGTTATAACATAATTTGTTATGATCCACACAATCAAATGCTTTTGCATAGTCAATAAAACACAAGTAAACATCTTTCTGGTATTCTTTGCTTTTAGCTAAGATCCATCTGACATCAGCAATAATATCCCTCATTCCATGACCTTGTCTGAATCTAGCTTGTATTTCTGGAAGTTCTCTGTTAGTATACTGTGGCAACCATTTTTGAATTATCTTCAGTAAGATTTTACTTGCATGTGATATTAATGATATTGTTTGATAATTTCCACATTCTGTGGGCTCACCTTTCTTTGGAATGGGTAAAAATATGGATCTCTTCCAGTCAGTTGGCCAGGTAGCTGTGTTCCAAATCTCTTGGCATAACCAAGGGAGTGCCTCTAGTGAGGCATTCGTTTGTTGAAACTTCTCAATGGGTATTCCGTCAACTCCTGGAGCCTTGTTCTTTGACAATTCTTTCAGTACAACTTCAACTTCCTCCTTCAGTACCACTGGTTCTTGAACATATGCCACCACCTGAAATGGACGAAGACTGACCAGGTTCTTTTTGGTACAGTGACTCTGTGCATCCCTTCCATCTTCTTTTGATGTTTCCAGCATCATTCAGTATTTCCCCCATAGAATCTTTCAGTATTGCAACTAGAAGCTTAATTTATTTCCTCAGTTCTTTCAGCTTGAGAAATGCTCAGTGTGTTCTTCCCTTTTGGATTTCTAACTCCAGGTCTTTGCACATTACATTATAGTAATTGGTTTTCTCTGCTCAAGCTGCTCTTTGAAATCTTCTGTTCAGCTCTTTTATCTTGTCATTTCTTCCATTTGCTTTAGCTACTCTTTGATCAAAGGCAAGTTTCAGAGTCTCTTGTGACATCCATTTTGGTCTTTTCTTTCTCTCTCGTATTTTTAATGACCTCTTTCTTTCGTCATGGATGATGCTCCTGATGTCATCCCACAATTCTTCTGGTTTTCGGTCACTGGTGTTCAGTGCATCAAATCTATTCTTTAGATGGTCTCTAAATTCAGTAGGGATATATTAAAGGTCATATTTTGGTTTTCATGGACTTGTTTTAATTGTCTTCAACTTCAAGTTGAACTTGCATATGAACAGTTGATGGTCTGTTCCACAATCACCTCCTGGCCTGGTTTTGGCTGAAGATACTGAGCTTTTCCATCTCCTCTTGCCACAGATGAAGTCAATCTGATTCCTGTGTACTCTATCTGGCAAAGTCTACATGTATAGCCACATTTGTGCTGTTGAAAAAAGGTATCTGCAGTAGTAAGTAGTTGGTCTTGGAAAATTCTATCATGCAATCTCCAGAGTTATTTCTGTCACCAAGGCCAAATTTTCCAACTCCTGGTGATTTTTGTCTCCAACTTTTGTATTCCAATCACCAATGATAAGCAATACATCTTGTTTGCATGTTCAGTCAATTTCAGACTACAGTACTTGGTAAAAATCTTCAATTTCCTCACCTTTGGCTTTGGTGGTTGGTGTGTAAATTTGAATAATAGTAGTATTAATGGGTCTTCCTTGTAGGCGTATGGATATTATACTATCACTGACAGCATTGTACTTCAGGGCAGATCTCGAAACATCCTTTGTGATGATGAATGCCATGCCATTCTTCAATTTGTCATTCCTGGCATAGTAGATCATATGGTTGTCTAATTCAAAATGCCCAAAACCCATCCATTTCGGCTCACTAATGCCTAGGATAGCAATCTTTATGCGTTCCATTTCATTTTTTGACAACCTCCAATTTTCCTAGATTCATACTTCATACATTCCATGTTCCGATTATTAATGGATGTTTGCAGCTGTTTCTCCTCAATTTGAGTTGTGCCATATCAGCACACGGAGGTCCTGAAAGACTTACTTTATCCATATCATTAAGCTTGGTTCTACTCTGATGAGGCAACTCTTTCCCAATCCTATTTTGAGTGCCTTCCGACCCAAGAGGCTCATCTTCCTGCACTGTGTCGGACAATGTTGTCAAGCTATTCATAAAGTTGCCCAGAAATGGATCAGATAGTGTTTCTCTGCTATTCATAAGGTTTTCCCTGTACAATTTTTGAAAAGTGGATGGCTTCCTCCTTCTTCCTAGTCTGTCTTAGTCTATAAGCTGTGTTGAAACCTGTGTACCATGTGCAAGGCTGCTGGCATCTGAAACACCAATGGCACAGCCTCAATCCTCACAGCAATGTACAAGCCCCACAGGATGACAAAATGACAGACAAATTTGCTTCCTTAGCTGTTGGAAACCTCTGAGCCCTCCCCTTACCTAATTCCTACCTGGAACCTGCCACACTTTGTGGCCTCAGCCACTCCTGCTCCCTCCCATTCCTGGGGGCTGGGGCCTGCCTTGCATCCCACCTCTTTACCTGGATATCCTGCTGCTCCTGAGGTCCCTGACCACTCCTGCTCCCTCCCTTGCCTGGCTCTAGGGGGCTTGGGGCCTAGCCTTGCCTCCTGCCCCTTTACCTGGATATCCTGCCACTCCTGAGGTTCCTGGCCACTCCTGCTCCCTCCCTTTCCTGGCTTTAAGGAGCTTGGGGTCTAGCCTTGCTGCCCACCCCCTTTATCTGGATATTCTGCCACTCCTGAGGTCCCCGGCTGCTCCCACTCCCTCCCTTTCCTGGCTGATTATCCTTTAAGAAGAATTAAATCACAAAAAGGAGCTCTAGTGGTATACTGCCTAAAGCACTTGACTGTTAACCAGAAGGCTAGTGGTTCAAACCCACCAGCCACTCCTTGGAAGGAAGACTGGGCAATCTACTTCCATAGAGATACTGCCTCGGAAACCCAAAAAGGGGTTGCTATGAGTTGGATCCAACTTGATGGCACTGAATTTGGTTTTTGGTTTTGGAAATCACAAATGAATAAGCAAAAATATTTAAACTAATGAAACAATGTTATGAATGTGAATTCTGGAATAAATAGAGTATTTAACATCAATATATAAAATATTCATGTGAGACAATCTAAAAATGTCCTCCCTTCTGTTGGGTCCTCCTATTTTGCTTACCTATCATGGGTCAATTGTTGAATAAGTTCCTGCCAATGCCTGCTGGCACTCAAATCTACTTTATACATTCCTCTGATATGCTGAATGACCTTTTTTCTCTCAATTCCTTGGGAGAGTGATACAGCCTGGGTGATATCTGCAGCTATTTTAGATACATCCTTTGATTTTGAATCTAGACGCTGAAAGAGACTAAACAAACAATAAGACTGTTCATCAGTTAAGCTTATGTGGAACATTAAATGTATATCAAAACATGATACTTTAATTACTAAAAGCATACGTGAAACTTAATGACTTTCCAAAAGACATGATGTTTAAAAAATATAATATGCCTTAGTTATCTATTGCTGATATAACAGAAATAACACAAGTGGGTAGCTTTAACAAACAAATTTATTTTCTCACAGTTAGGGGGCTAGAAGTGTCTGGATCCAGGGCACTAGCTCTAGGGGAATGCCTTCTCTCTCCGTTGGCTCTGCGGATAGATCTTCTGTTCCTTAGCTTCTTGTTGACCTTCCTGTAGCAAGGCATCTATCTCCCCCCACCTCTGCTTCTCTTGCTCACTTGTTTAATCTTTTACATCTCAAAAGAGAATGATTTTAGACACATCTTTTACTAATTCTGTCTCATTAACATAACATAACATAATATAGCATAACATTCCCAAATGGGATTAAACCACAGACATAAAGGTTAGGATTTACAACACATTTTTTGGGGGACACAATACAATCCATAATAATAATATCCTACCTTTGTTGATTATTACGAACTGCTTTCTGCCAGGCAGCTTTACTCACATCTTCTTCAGTTTCATATTTCTTTTGTTCCTAAAATATTTAGATTATACTATATAAACTTTATTCTTCCTTATTTAATATTGGCATAGAGCCCAAGAAACCAATTTTAAAACCAAGTTAATACAAGAAAAATATATCGCCTCCAGGACACTAAGATATTAAAACCACTGAAATAAATAATGTTAAAATTTCCCTTTGTTTCCCTACAATTTGGGTCACAAATATTAGGGTACAATAGTAAACCAGGGTTGCCACACCTGATGGGTTTATGTAGTTGGTTGCTTCCTTATTTTTCCTTTTCCATTAAAGATTTCTTAACTCAAAGTTTATGCTTCAACATGCTTGTCACTAAAATATAAAAATCTTTCCATCATTGATGACTACTGATAATGGATAAAAACAACCACAGAGAATAAAACTCTCCTTAAAATAAACTTCTTTTTCCATAATACTAGTAAAATTCTCAGTAGAAAGCAATAATAATAAAAGAAAGCATTTCAAGTCCATAATAAATGATAATTTTAAAAAACATCTCTTAATTATTTTTTAATTATATCCAATGGACTCTCTTCAGAAACAAGTGTTGTTTCACTGACTCACCTCTTTGATCATTTTAATAAGGTCTGATTTTGTTGCTGCAGTGGGAAGGATGCATTTATGGCCACATAATTTTAAAGCACTCATAAGCAATTCTGCTATGTCTAGTTCTTCTTCAGTCAACTCATCTTGGTGATTATGCATCAACTCTGTCAGATACAAAACTAACTTTGCTCCATGCTATAAAAAAAAGTTACAATTTTTTTTAGAAATAAAGAATTTTTATTTTACACTTAAATTACTTAATAGTAATTAAATTATATTTCTAAATCTACTTAACTATAAAAGTAATTTATAGCATAAATTTGCTATAATAAATTAGAACCAAATTATTTGCCATTTTCATTGCAAATGAAGCAAAAATAAACAAGCTAGCAAACCTATCTTAAAGAAATCTCTCTCCCTTAATGGGATGATTTCTAAAACCTAACTTCTACATAAATTTAATTTAAAAATATCAGCAATAGGGATGTAAGTTTGTCATAAAATTGGTGCTGAGTAATTTTCTTGCTAGCAATCTTGATTCAGAATGTTGCAGAAGTTGAGAATCTGCAGGAAACCGGTAAAAAAAAAAAAAAAAAATTTGTTTTGGTGAATAGGCTGACTGCTTCTTTTATTTATTTATTTAATTTTTATTGTGAGTAGCGTGAAAGTTTACAGAGCAAATTCATTTACCTTACAGCAGTTCACACACATTTTGTTTCATGATATTGACTGCAATTTCCCACAATGTAACAGCTCTTTTCCCACTTCCTCCTTGTAGTTACCTCTTGCCTGTGTCCCTCCCTCCCATGTACTCCTGATCTTCCCTCCCCAGAGCTGTCTCCCTGTGCAAATATAGCTCTCTGTTCTCCCATGATTGACTGCTCTGAGGAGTGTATCTACCTGATGTAAATGTTCACCCATATGCCTGTCCATTGTTTACTGGCCATAGTTCCAAGGGTCTCCACCAGGCTCTATCAGTCCAGTAAACCTGGTCTTTTTTATTGGGATTTTGAGTTTAGTTCCACATTGTTCTCCCACTCTATCCAGGATCTCTTGCACCAATCCCCCTCCAAGTAGGAAACTGGTCATTTTAATCTCAACTCTCTCCCTACCTCACTACATACACTTTAGACTGGCATAGTTTTTTAAAAAACTTTATATTAATCACCTACCCGAGGCCATTGTTGTGTGTCACTGAGTCAATTCTGACTCACAAACAACGCTACAGGATGGAGTAGTACTGCCCCATATGGTTTCCTAGGCTGTACTCTTTATGGGAGCAGATCACTAGGTCTTTTCTCCTTTGGAGCTCCTGGCAGATTTGAACCACTGACATTTCAATTAGCAGCCAATCACATAACCATTAAGCCAGCAAGGCTCCTTTACTAGACTATGTAAATATAAAAAGATGTAGACTAACATGATATCAGTGTATCACCCCATAAATCACTTACTGCTTGCAAGGGATTAGCATATCTTAGGAAGGTGAGATCTAGGTATCATGACCTTAACCCAGTGATCAATCTTGGCATCACTACTGTTAGGATCACCAGACATGTATTTCCTGATGCGACGCAATATAATATATACAGCATCACTTATGAAATATTGTTCCCAAAAATATTTGGCCTGAATCCAAGACAGACTTCAGATCAAATTCTAGTTTATAGGTGACACAGAAGGTAAAGGGCCAAGTTAAATGACATCATGTGGAGACCACCAGATAAATCCAGAAGTTGGCACAGTCTCTTCAATAAGACAATGTCATGGAAAAACAAGCTTGTGTGGGGACTATTCTAGATTAAAAGAAATCTAAGAAACATACAAACCAAATGAAATGCATAATCATACTTTGGTAAGGTTTAAATAAACCAGCTCTAAAAGATATTTTGGGGAAAACTGGAGAAATTGATTATGTACTTGGTATTTAATGACATCAGGGAATTATTATTGTTAATTATTAATTTTTTAAGGTACAATAATGTTTGTTGTTGTTGTTGTTGTTGTTGTTATGTGCCATTGAGTCGGACCTGACTCATAGAAACCCCTCCTTGGGTTTCCGAGGTGGTATCACTACGGAAGTAGATTGCCCAACCTTCCTTCCGAGGAGTGGCTGGTGGTTTTGAACCGTCAGCCTTCTGGTTAGCAGTCAAGTGCCTTAGGTACTACGTGTATGTATATGTGTGTGTGTGTGGATATAGATATAGATATAGATGTAGATATATATGTATATCTATATCTATATGTATATACACATATATATATATATACACACACATATGAAAATGTCTTCTCAAAAAATAATTTAGAGATGAAGTATCATGATCTCTAACTTACTTTAAAATACTTCAGAAAAATAACAAATGAAACCATTATGATAAAAATATGAACAGCTGTCAACTCTGGGTGATGGTTATATGGCATTCACTATACTATTCCCTCAACTTCTCTTGGTAAGTTTGGAAATTTTCATGGTAAACGGCAGAGCAAACAAAAAGCTTTTGGGGAAAGAACTGGTGAAACAATCTGCTAAAGAAATAAAAGGAACAAGCTTGAGATAAAAGACAATACTTAGTTGTTTTTTTTTTTTCACAGAAAAGCTGAACCGCGATTAAGGTAAGAGAATTATCCAAGCTGTAGATATTAGACTTGACTGTAATGTGTATACTAGGTATTTGACATTACTTTTGCCAACAAAATAGACATGTGTATTTTATTTTTAAAATTCACATTGATAAAAATTCCACTGCTTTTGGCTTACGACATTTTAAATGGTGAATGGTACTAAACATCAACAAACGGATTTGTAAACTATTACATTTTGGGTGTACTTAAATTAACACGCTGAATCACATCATGTCATTTCCCAAAAGCATAAGAGGAACATATGCAATGGTAAAAATAGCAAAGCTCATTTTAATGTAACATTTTAAATTAGTCAGGAGATAGCTACTACCTGACCAAAACAGAAAAATGAATAGACACTCTGAGTAAAAGACTTGAAGAGCTGGCAAATAAAGAAAAATGCTAAATGACTAGAATGTTTTCATATGTGTGTTAAAGGTAATGTTCTTTATGTAACTTTAAAAAGATTTCAGTTTATTATTCAATGACATCTAAAGTCTGAAAAACTATCAGAAATGTTTTTATTCATTCTGAATATCTAAAGAAACATGATTTTCTCAAACACTAAAGTTGTTTTTAATATCTCATTTTAACAGTTTAATCATTTATTTATTATAATTTCTGTGAGTATGAAAGGTACTACTTTGGACAGATACATAAAAATACTGATTTGTATTCAGCTCTCAAGAAACTGATTAAAGGAAATTAATCTATTAAATACTAATCCTTAGAAAATAATGAAATCCTAAAATGTATAAAATAAAATGCTCAACAAAGGTTATAGAAGGAAGAGTTGAAAAATGGTTGAAAAATGGTGAAGAAGGTTTTGAAGGTGGTGGAACATGATCTGGGTATATGGCCATATGGATAGAACAGGTAGACTGATGCAGACAAAGGAAAAGAGGGAGGCATGTCATGTTGGTAGACAACAAAGATACACAGGATGTGAAGGTGTACAAGAGATAAGGAAGAGACTATCTTGAAAAGAGGAAGGGTTACAGAGGGGAGAATCCATTAGCATAAAGTTGTAAAAGTAAAAAAAAGGCTATGGCTTTAAAAATCAGGCAGATTACAAATGGAATACAGCCTTTCTTTATGCAGCTGTAAAAAGGAATGAGAAAGGTCTTTATATACTGCTATGGAATGACCTCTAGGATATATCATACATATCATTAAGTGAAAAAGTAAGTTACAGAAGAGTATGTAGTAATTCAATATCTTTCCTACTACTGAGAAGGGGGGTGATAATGTGTGTGTAGATGTGAATCTTGAAAACATTATTCTGAATGAAATAAGTCAGTCATAAAAGGATAAATATTGTATGATTCCACTTATATAAAATATGTAGAATAGGCAAATACATAGATCAAAGTTTATCAGTGGTTACCAGGAGCCCTGGTAGCACAGTGGATAAGTGCTCAGCTTCTAACGAAGAGATCAGCAGTTTCAACCCATGAGCTGCTCCCTGACAAAAAGATGTGGCAGTTTGTTTCCATAAAGATTTACAGCCTTGGAAATCCTATGGGGCAGTTCTACTCTGTCTTATACAGTCACCATGAGTCAGAATTGACTAGATGGCAGGGTGTGTGTGTGTTTTTTTGTTTTGTTCTGTTTTACAAGGGATGTGAGGGAGGGGGAAATAGGGAGTCATTCCTCAGGGGGCAATTAGTTTCATCAAAGGTGACTGAAAAATTCAGAAATGGATAGTGCCGATGGTTGCAGAACATAATGAATGTAATTAATGTTGATGAATTGTACATATAAATAAATGTTGAAATGGGAAATGTTATATATATCTTTACCACAATAAAAAAGGGGAGAATATCTATCTCTTTTTAATAAAATCATCTAACATTTTATTAATTAAGGTATACTATACTTTACAGAGCCCTGGTGACAGAATGCTTGATGTGCTCAAGCTGCTAACCAAAAGATGAACAGTTTACAGCAGCAGCTCTGCAGAAGAGACCTGGCAACCTTTTCCCTTAAAGCCTAGGAAACCTTATGGGGCAGTTCTACTCTGTCATATAGAGTCATTATAAGTCAGAATCAGTTCAGCAACACACAACAACACTATACTTTGGATACAATAAAATACATAGATATTTAGTGGTCATTTCTATGACTTTTTGATACCTGCATACACCCATACATTATTATGTATCCAAGATAAGATATAGTACAATTTTTTTCTATTGTGCTTTGTGTGCAAGACATAGTACATTTTTATCACACCAGAAAATTCCCTTATTTTAGTCAATTCCTTTCTCATCTCTCTCTCCTCCACAGACACAGAAATTTCCAGATTTCTATCACTTTTTCTTCTTAGACTTCATAAGAATGGTTTTGAGAAACAACCATGACACGAGGTATGTTAGTAGTTTGCTCCTTTTTGTTGCTGTAGAATAGTCTATTACATAAATATATCACAATCTATTTATATATTTTCTTGTTGATAGCCACTTGGTTTGTTTCCAGTGTTTGTATATCATAAAAAAAAGGCTGCCATGGATATTTATATACAGGTTTTTTTGTGGATCTATGTTTTAATTTATCTTCAGTAAATACCTAAAAATGGATTTTCAGGGACTTAAGTTAAATGTATATTTACTTTTACAAGAAACTGTTCAAGAGTTCTCATAAGTGGTTGTGCCATTTAAAATCTCCATCGATCACTCTTGAAGTAATAGAATTTGTAGACTCTGAAATTATTTCTAGTTTTCTGCTTTTGATCAAATCAAATGATAATATTTTTGTTGTTGTTTTAAATGACTGTAAATATTTTTTTAAAATGTTATACATACTGCTGTTTCAAATATTAGTATAACATTTCATGGATAATATACTTCTTTCAAAAGTTCTCAAAGGAAATGAACACTCAAGATTTAGTAGCAAATGACAAAGGATCTTACAAGAATTTATACACAGTACTTCTTAAATTTAAGCACTGGGAAATAAACATAGAGGTCAAGTTTAAGTTGAAGACTTTAGGTGAAACATGTTTGGGAAGAGAATTATATTTCATGATATTAACCATGAAAATAGTTTAATTTCAGATCTTGTTTCATGTAACCTTATATTTCACCAAACACTTTTACTTACCTTACTAAATGCTGAGGTACTTACTTGCAGGGATGGGCTGAGACAGTCTCGGAGTATTTCCTGATAATTTGGTTCACGAACTATTTCAAAAATTTGCTTTCTCTCTTGTGAAGGATGGCTTGGTGACAAAATATGCACTAGCAGTCTCCCAAGCTGCGTTCGGAAGGTTTCCTTACAAGACCACAGGACTTTAGTCCACTGCTGTTTACACTCACTGGCTTTATTTGAATTCTTAAATTAAAAAAGGAATAAAACAGGATCAGACTTCTTAAGCAATAACACACTAACCTCAATTCACCCCTAAAGAATATCATGGGATGGGGGAACAAATAACATGGCACATGTTGTATTATAGATATGTTTTAAAAGTCAAAATTAGAAATGCATGTACTTCTCCATACAGATGGTAGTCTAAAAGGGATGGACAAAGAAGCCAAAATCCTAAGTCAAAAATTACTGAGGGTTTGGAAAACATAAAAAAAAAGAGAGAGTAAGAAAACTGACCAAAGAACAATATGGGAAATCCCTCAGTGATTCTGTAATATAAGAGACAAAGATTCATAAGAAAGACTTGAATTAGTATTAAAATATAGTCACAAACTAAGAACTACATATAAATTGGCCATTGTTATCCTCTGAAAAATAACCAAATAAACTTTTCAACTGTGGTCTCAGGAAGGCTAGCCCAGTTCTGATCAAATTACCTGTACTTGGTTTAACATTGGAATTAGCACATTTCAGAGTTTATTCTGAATTTGGAAATGGCTAGTCCTAGGGCTTTTGGTGTGAATGATTCAGTTCTAAATGGAACTTCGTTTGCTGCCCTATTCAGAGCTAGACATCAAAAGCTAGCTTATATTTAAAGATTAGCAGAGCCTTCATTTATGAATTCTGCTAGAATTAGATCGGCCTTTAGTATCTAAAGAGTAAACTGACTAGGTTGTTCCACATGGTCAACTACAAGTGAATCAAAGAAATTCAAGTGAGAAAATGATAAACAAAGTTTGACACTTGTCAGTATTCTGCATATAATTTTGAAGGTGCTGGATATATTAAGCCAAGCAAGATTTGAACTTCATAATAATTCAAGAACTCAAGAGTGGGAAGAAAACAGTAATGAACTGTCACTGAGTTGATTCCAACTCACAGTGGTGACCCTGTGTGTGTTTCAGACTAGAATTGTGTTCCATAGAGCTTTCAATGGCTGTGGTCTTCTGGAAGTAGATCCCAGCCTGGGATCTACTTTTTCCCCAAGGTACCTGAACCACCAACTTTACAATTAAAAGATGCTTTAAAAATTGGTTATTTGGACCTTTACCTAATACTATATACAAAAGTAGGAGCTCTGGTAGCATAGTGCCTAAGGCACTTGACTGCTCACCAGAAGGCGGAGGTTCAAACTCACCAGCCACCCCTCGGAAGGAAGGTTGGGCAATCCTACTTCCTTAGTGATACTGCCTCGGAAACCCAAGGAGGGGTTGCTATGAGTCGGGGCCGACTCGACAGCAAACAACAACAACAACAAATATACAAAAGTTAACTCAAAATGGATCCAAGATCTAAATGTCAGAGCTAAAACTATTAAGCTCATAAAAGAAAACATGGGGGTAAATCTTCATGACCTTGCTTTTAGTAATGGTTTCTTACATAACAATAAAAGCACAAGCAACAAAAGAAAAACAGATGAATCAGATTTAATCAAAATTTAAAACTTTTGTGCATTAAAGAACACTATCAAGAAAGTGAAAAGGCAACCTGCAGAACAAGAGAAAATTTTGCATAGCATATGTTCAATAAGGAGCTCTGGTGGCATAGTAGATAAGGCATTTGACTGCCAACCAGAAGGCTGGCAGTTCAAACCCACCAGCCAATCTGTGGAAGGAAGACAGAGCAATCTACTTCCCTAAAGATTTACAGCCTCGGAAAGCCAAAGGGGATCGCTATGAGTTGGAATCTACTCTATGGCAACAAGTTTGTTTTTTGTTTATGTTCAGTAAGGATCTAGTATCCAAACTATACATGGAACTCTTATAACTCAACAATAAAAAGACAAACAACCCAATTAAACAATAAACAAAGGGTATGAATAAGCATTTATTATAAAAAGATAAACAGATGGCCAACAAGCACATGAAATGACACTCAACCTCATTAGTCATTAAGGAAATGCCAATCAAACCACAATGAAATAACACTTCACATCCACTCAGGTCACTGTCATTTGGGTTTCCAAGGCGGTAAATCTTTATGGAAGAAGATTGCCCTGTCTTCCTTCCATGGATTGGCTAGTGGGTTTGAACTGTCAACCTTCTGGTTAGCAGTCAAATGCCTTAAGCACCACCCCACTAGAACTCCTTTCATATCCACTAAACCAAAATCAAACTCACTGCCATGGCATGGGATCTGACTCATAGTGACCCCTCATTGGGTTTCTGAGGTGGTATCACTACGGAAGTAGATTCCCAACCTTCCTTCTGAGGAGCGGCTGTTGGCTTTGAACCGCCAGCCTTTCGGTTAGCAGTCAAATGCCTTAGGATCCACACCACCAGAGCTCCTTCATACCCACTAGGAAGGCTATAATCGAAAGAACAGGAGATGATTATTTTGGAGATGATGCAGAGAAATTGGGACCCTCATGCATGGTTGGTGGGACTGTAAAATGGTTCCATTGTTATGAGAAACAGTTTGACAGCTCCTAGTAAGTTAAACATAGAATTACCATATGACCCAGTAATTCTAATCCTAGAAACATAGTCAAAAGACTTAAAAACAGGTGTTTAAACAAAAACTTATATATGAATCCTCATAGCAGCACTATTTACAGTAACTAAAAGGTAAGAACAATTCAAATGTATCAAGTGATGAATGGATAAATGAATATAGTATAATTGAGTATCATTCAGCCATAAAACGGAATGAAGTACTGAGATATATACAAAGGAGTGAATCTTAAAAAACATTTTGCTAAGTGAAAGAAGCCAATCACAAAAGACCATATACTATTTGATTCCATTCATCTGAAATACCCAGAATGGCAAATACAATGAATGAGACAGAAAACAGATTAGTGGTTGCCAGGGGCTACGGGGAAGATGGAAAGGGGAGTGACTGATTAATGAGTATGTGCTTTTCTTTTGGAGCGGTAAGGAAGTTTTGGAACTAGAAAGTGGTGAGAATTGCAGAATACTGTGAATGTATTGTATACTTTAAAATGGTTCAAATTGTGAATTTTATGTTACGTGTATTTTACCACAATAAAAAAAAAAGGAAATTTAAAAGAAGAAGGTGTGAAGTTAAAAACCTGGAATTAAAAATAATACTGATTAAAAAAAAAATAGGCTGATTATTTTTAAAGTATAAAACTTAATGCAAAAAAAGTGAAGTACTGATATATGCTACATGTATGAACTTAGAAAACATTAGGTGGAGAGAAAGAAGTGGGACAAAAAGATATGTTATATGACTCCATTTGACACGAAAAGTCAAGAAATGGCAAATCCATAGAGACAGAAAGTAGATTCGTGGTTGCCAGAGGCTGTGAGTTGGGTGGAGGTGGTGTGGGGGTGAGGATGTGGAGTGAAAGATTTCCTTTTGGGGAGATGAAAATATCCTGGAAATAAATAGTGGTGATGGTTGTATAAAAGTGTGAATGTACTTAAGATACAACTGAATTATACATTTTTAAATGGTTAAAGTGGTGAATTTTGTTATGTGAATCCTACACAATAAAAACAACACAGGGTAAACTCTCAAGTAATCATAAACCCCTACTCTCTTCTAATGCTGATTTTATACAACTATAATAGAAAATGGCTTCCAGAATGCAGACTTAAAAAGCAATACTGCATGAAGCCAACAAGTCCTTGTGGGAAGGATAAATTATGACTATAGACTGCTCTATTATTAAAAATTCAAGTTGTCTAAGTTTCTGAAAACCCTGTGGAAGAGTATAAAGAAATATTACTTTGGAAACATATAATACAGACACATAAAACGGCTAATCTTTTTGCATGAATGAACATCTCACAATGAATCAATTTACTTACATTAGATACTTTGAATCCTTCTACCAAATAGGTGAACATTTCTTTCTGAAATGGATTGAAAACAGAAGGCTTCTCATGATGAATATTCTTCTCAGAAATTTCAGTCTGGGGAATTGAGTTCTTGCTTTGAGTTATATTTTCCAGAGTACTCAAAATGTCAATAACATCTTGATTAAAGTCTTTGAATTTAAAAAAAAAGAAAGATCAGTCAAATACTGATACATAACCATTATAAATGGTATTGTGCTTTTGGTACAAATTTACAGAGTGAATTTGTTTTACATTCCACAGTTCATGTACATTTGGTTTCACTCCCCAATTACCATCCCCAACCCTAACCCACTCTCCTCCTCTCCCTTCCGAG